ACATTATTATTATTATGTCAATGAAGTAAACAAAGAACATCAAAACAAAGACGAATTTGATGAAGACGGATACAAAAAAGTCATCCACAGGAGAAGACGACAAAATAACTTCGGAAGCGCTGAAACTGAACATGATAATGTTTTTGCTGGTGAAGATCGAAAAGTTTGGCTATACATTTATCGGGTCAAACGTACGGCAACTGAAAATGAAATCATGAAATACCTATAACAGAAAATAGGAATCTAAAGCAGGAATCTCTACTTGTAAAGGAACTTCCTAGTCTTAGTAACCAGTTAAACAGATTTGTAGTAGCTGCACCTTTAGAAAACAAAGAATCAATGTTCTGGCCCAAAAATGTGGGCATTAAAAGGTTCCAAATGGACAGACATAAAGACTTCTTCTACGACAGAGGAGGAAATTTTGCAGAAAAATAGAAAGAAAGGGAACAAGGACAACAGTGGACATGTGTAAAAAAGAAATTAGTTTATTACATCAAAATGTTCAATCAATTGGCAACAGTGTGGATGAGTTAGAGGAGCTTATAAGTGATAATAGGCAGTGCCAAGTCTTATGCATTAGGGAATACTGGAAATCAAGAGAGCAGCTTGAGAATTATGGAATAAATGGTTTCTATCTGTTGTGCACAAGCTTCTGTAGAGAAGAAAACAAACATGGGGACAGTGTAGTGTATCTACGAAACGGTGTGAAATGGAAAGTTCGAATGGATATTCAGGTATTGTCAGTGTGTAACAAAATAGAATGTGCAGCATGTGAAATAGAAGTTGAAAATGTAAATATAGTTGTTTTATCAATATACAGACCTGCGGGTTCAAGGGTACATTTTATTTTTTTTGAAAGGTTTGAAATAATGATAAGAATGTTAACTGAGGAAAATTGTAAAGTAGTGATAGGGGGATTTTTCAATATAAATTTAAAAGACTCAATTGATAGTTTCAGATTTATTACAACGATAAACTCATATGATATAACTCATACTGTTAATGAATATACTAGAGTAACATCAACATCTAGATCATGAATAGATAATATCCTAACAAATATTCAATATAAGCATTCGGTGGTTCTGCACGCTTCCATCTCTGACCACTCCGCACAATTAACAACCCAGGTAAAACTAATTATATTTTTAGAAGATTTTTTAATGAGGAAAATATAAATGAATTTATAGAAAGGTTAAAAGAGGTTAACTGGGAATTCATTAAACAAGTAAGACAAGTGTGACATTAATAAGTAAAGGGAATCTTTTATGTGCACCTTTTTATACATTTTCAATATATGTTTCCCACTGAAAAAAGTCAAAGAGAAAACCTCTAATAAAAAATGTCAGTTTTGTCCTATGAGTGACTCTGAGGTGAAAGAATGCAAAAGGCGTTTAAATATTCTATTCACAATGAGCAGAGTGGATAATAGGTTTTGGGATAGTTATAAAAAGGTAAAGAAAGAGTATAACAAGAAACTATTAACTAGAAAAAAGAAAGCATTTGGAAAACAAATATCTGACTCGGACAATAAAGCTAAAACAACATGGCAAATAGTGAGTAATATAAATGTAAAAAATAACCAACATACTATACAAATACCGGGGGAGGCGTCAACAGTAGCAAGCAATTTTATGACTTTTCTTGAAAAGTCAATAACAGATGTAATCTTTGGCCTAAGTAATAGTAATTATGTAAGTACAATATCTAGTAACTTAAAGTCTATACAAGTCTATATATGTAATACCAGTAACTGCAATGGAAATTATAGGGATTGGGAAGAAACTCAAAAATAAGATGAGTAGTGGTATAGATGAGGTACCAACAAAAATTATTAAAAAATGTATTGAGCAAATTGTGAATCCACTAGTATATATAATAAATAACTCTTTTCGATTTGGGGTGTTTCCTAATCAATTAAAAATAGCCTGCATAGTACCCGTTTTCAAAAAAGGTGACGTAAAAAAGGTGGAGAACTACAGACCAATTAGTCTTTTAAATTCTTTCTCAAAAATTTTTGAAGCAGCAATGTGTAAAAGGGTATCAGAATTTGTTATGACCTGTAACTTATTAAGTATAAATCAACACGGTTACCAGCATGGGAAATCTACTTAAACGGCAATTTTCGAGTTTGTTCAGCATGTTCTAGGTGATCTGGAGAATGGTAGGCTGGCTAAGGGCCTATCTTGGACTTGTCCAAAGCCTACGATTGTCTAGACCATGGGATAGTGCTGGACAAGCTGGAGAAATATGGAATTAGGGGGTCTGCATTAGGGTGGTTCGAATCATATCTTAAGGATAGGAAACAAGTTGTCAAAATATATAAAAATAATGAGGAAGGTAGATCTGTAGAGATAACATCTAATATAGGAAGTATAGTAGGTCCATTGATTTTTATTATTTATATGAATGAACTAAACAGCGTTATGATTGCTAATGAGAACTGTGTGCTAACCAATTAAGCAGATGACACAAATATCTTAATATGCCAATATTCAACTAAACAACTGTATATTTAAGGTCTCGACTAGTACCAAGTTTCTGGGGCTACATATTGATAGTTTTCAGTGCTGGGAAAGCCATGTTGAGTTTGTATGTACAAAACTGAGCCAGATCTGTTACAGCATCAGAGTTGTGAAGAAATATCTGGAATAGGATAGTTTAAAAATGGTATACTTTGCAAATTTTGAATCTATAGAATTAGATATGTGAAATATTCTATGGTGGGAACAATTCAATTGAAAGAGTTTTTTAGTGTAAAAAAGAATAATGCGGATTATGCTCAGTTTGAATATGAGAGAGTCGTGTAGGGGTAAATTTATAGAAAATACAATCTTAACTGTGATAGGCATATACATACAGGAATGCTTAATTTTTGATTTAAAAATAGAGGTTTATTTTCAAATTTTGAAACAACAAATGCTTATATATTGAGAAATATAAACCTAGTTTATCCAATACATAGGCTGACAGCTACAGAACATGGAGCAGGGTACAGCTGTGTACAATAAACTTCCTGATGCAATAAAAAGATTAGCAAATGTTAACTATTTAAAAGGGAAGTACATGAATTGTTAATTAATTTAGAATCATTTACAATTAATTAATATTATTCTATGTGATCATTGATATATTTTCCTTGGCACTGTTTTGTTTAAGAATTGTCTTACTTTTATGTATTATGATTGTTTCTCAAAATAAAGATTATTATTATTAGTATTATTGGAGGCCGAAGAAATAATTATCACAGTTGAAATACGTCCTATGTCCCGTGATGTGTACCTAAGAATCCAGACAATTTAAATTTTGTTGCCAAATGTCTACTTTTATTTTCCCATTATTGTCATCTTTGTTTGTATTGTAGGAAGAGTGAAATAGAAAAATAATTGGGTGTACTTTGTTTTAACAATTCTGGACAATTCATAAAGTGGTGTGTTGCAACGTTGCAACTAAATAAAAAGGGTAGCGTCTATTCAAATTTACTAATAATATAATTTAAAATTTTTGTAGTTATCGATGAGAATTTTAAATTATATTTTTTTTTTCTTGGATAGGTGGTTAGTTTTTATAAATTAAAATGCAAATCCAAATATCTATTATATATTTTAAATGTGTCCATGATTAGATACAATTTTGTATGCTTGGTTGCATTTAGGCGGTGTTATAAAATATTTGAAACATCATTATGTTCCCTAATAAATCAAGGGACAAAAACTTCATATATGTCAGATTGAGACTGTAATTAAAAAGGTCAGATAGAACAAAAATTACAATTACTAACCAGTGGCGGCTCATACTTTAACACATAGGTGGTGCCAGACCAGTGTATCATGCTCACCACAGCTGTCCCGCCGGAGATAAAAAAAATTTGGGTACCACGCCCAAATGTCCTTAAGGTATGGTTCCTTCCACGCGGCCGTCGCCTGCGGCTGTCGCACTGCGTTAGCCGCAACGCTCTCCTACGTATGCTTTTAAACGTACCCGGTTCCTTCCGAGCGGCCGTCGTGCGGGTCAGCCGCGAACGACTACGATCGACGCGACTGTACTGCTCGAGAAGCAGTATAGCCGCAGCCGCGAGAGCGTTTGTTGTTGTTTTGTGTGCAATTTTTGGTTTGATTTTTTATTTAGTATATTCGATTGGCATTTTTTGAATTAGAAAAGTACCCAAACATGTCGAAAGTGCTATTTACGGTGACTGAAGATGAACTATTAGTTGAATTAGTGGCAAAACATCCCGCATTATTCGATTTGGCCCATAGTTTATATAAGGATCAGGTTGTCAAAGAAAACGCCTGGAAAGAAATAGCTGAGGCATTAAGCAGATCAGGTAAGATATTAGATAAATAATTAGGTAAATAATGTTAAGTCTAAAATTCAAAAATGTATTTATTGTATTATTATATTTCTTCATCCTCCTCTTCTTCTAGTAATAAGTACATTATGAGATTATCCATCACGACTTTCACCAAAGAGAGTTCTCTTTATACTGATCGTTCACGAGCTTGAGTCGCGACGCGATGCGATGCTAAGAAACCACTCGATAGAACGGCGGCCGCTCGCGATAGTCGCGTTGCGGCTGCCGCATGCGACGGCCACGTGGAAGGAACCATAGCTTTAGGAAGCAAAATCAAAGTTACGAGTGCTTAAAATTATGTTATATCTCTGCTGTTCACCCTTTGAAATAATGCAATGTCTGTTACGACATTAGCCAAAGGAGTAGTTGTTTTTAGGAGGGAAAATGGTCGCTCATTGTTTCTGTGACACGGTCTTCCATTATTTCTCATTTTTCTTTATGATTTATATTGCTGTTTAAATAAGTCTGACTTTTTTCTCAATTATAACTACTTAGTAATTATTTTTAAAAGAAAAAAATTTACTAGAATGTTACTTTTGTCATATATTTTCGATATAATTACTTATATGTTTGCTTTTCAAAAGGAATTCCTCCATAATTGGATTAACTATTATTTGAAAAAGTAGACTATTGTATTTTATCCTACCTTGAGTACTGCTGGTTAACTGGTCCCTTCTTTCCCTTATAGCAGCTTGCAGAGCCCTACATCTCGCCGCGCAGTCTTCCAACTGAGCAGCTAGATTGTTCGGCAAAGCATTTCCTGCAAATATAATAAAATGAAAGTTTTTTATTCAATTTTCTTAAATGATCACAGTTCTTCATTAACATACCGATATTCGCTGCTTGCATTCTGGCCTCTTCTAGAGTTCTCTGCAGTGAGGGTAATTGCTGTTCTAATGTACGAAGATTGGACAGCAATTCTCTGGCTTCGGCCGCACTGCGAGGTCCACTCCAACTCAAGGTGGCCCTTTCCAAGCGCGATACAGCTGAACATGCTTCTTCTAAGTTCACGGTGAGTTGTTTCAGTTTCTACAAGAAAGACAAGCGAAGATGATAATGGAAAATAATAACAACATTCTTAACAAATATGGCGTATATTTACTGATCATGTAATTCGTGCGATGTTATTTTTTTTTAATACTGACACTGGATAAAACCAGAAGGCCAGACTATTGCAGTAATCCATAATTCTTTAATCCACTATTGTTACATGATTACATTATTATTATATTTTAACTTACAGCTATCAAAATACCTGAGTTTGTAATTAATTATAAAAATATCTATTTTTTAAATTATATGTATTTTTGTTTATTTTGCTTTTATTTTTTGTATTTTTTTGTTTTTTCCTTTTTTTTTTTTAGTTTTACACCCTTCGGATCTCCCGTGCTATACCCTAATCCGTCTATAGCCTGGCGGCACTGCAGCCTGCAGCTTATTGTACCACCATTTGAAGATCCTACTACTTTCACATTCAACAATTCACTCCCTGATTCATCGTCATTCATTCCACGTCGTCGGCGGTTAACCGCTAGTCGGATGAGTCCCATAGTGGAACCTCCCAGCGGTCACCCATCCACGACGTGACCGGAGAATCACTGCTTAACTGTTGCGAGTATGTGGATGCACACTAAGCTCGCAGCTAGCCCCTCCGGCTTTATATATGTTGGTACTAGATGTAATTTTTTAGTAAGAATTAAGTCTACATCAGTCAGATGCAACACATTTATTAAAATTTAGTACCCTGAACAATTTTGACATATGTTTAGACTGATTAATTTGAAATTTATGTCATTTAGACAGATCACACCCTTAAAAAGCCTTTCAAAGTTAATCAGGTTCATAAATTTATTGCAAAAGTTCAGCAACTTATAGCGTTTTCGACTGGTGAAACTGGTGCGCACTTTTTGATACTCGGTGCAAAATTTGTTTTCGACTCGCAAGAGCAGTGCGAACCGGGTCAGTTTTGGAATTTTCGGTTGAAACCAGTTGAACTCAAAAAAATAAACCGGTGCGCACTTTTGTGAACCGAGTGTAGAGACAGGTTTTCAGTTTCAGTTCAGTCGCAACCATTATGGCGATGACAAATGAAGAGTCGTTTCTTAAATATCTACATTTTTTAGAATTTGTAGAAGAAATATTGGAAACTTTTTCGTCAGATTCAAACGAAGAAGATTTAATTAAGGCTAAGTGTAATAAAACTAAATTGCCAAAAATATTTACATTGAATCATTGGTCGCACCTGGATGACTCCCAGGTATATATCATAAATATTCTTGTATACGCATAGAATACGTTGACATCTTAAGAACTTAAACACAATTAAGTTTATGTTAACTTGTTGAGAAAGTATTTTATAACAGTATTAAATAAATATTTAAAATGAAAGCTTGGCTTTGATCTTGTTTGGAATTTGGAAGGTACTTTTACTTATTACTCAGATGACAGCTGTCAAATACAATACAATACACTGGTGGTCAACTGTGTATTCAGTTGAAATAAATCACTAAATTGAAACATTGCTGAGCAACGAAAAACTCACACTACACGAGTGTGACCAGTCGAAAACACTATTAAATTACTAAACAAGTACACCAACTAAGTTAGGAAACAGGTTCACCAATGGTACCATGCAAATTAGAAACTAGGGAAAACATATCATTTAATAATTACATAAAACGTACATCATTGATTAGTAATTCTTTGTTAGTTTTCGTAACGTAACATAAAACATGTCAAATGCCAGAAATATATACTGATGGGCAATGCTCATTTCAGCCATTTTTGCCACAAAATTGTAGCTGCAATTCGACTTGCGGAAATACATTTTCAATCCGTTCCTATTTTTCGAAACGACATTAGTGCGTCGACGTGCAATAACAATTGCCTCAATTTTACTTACAGGCAAGTAACATTTTGACCTGTAAAGTGGCTCTTATACTTACAATTGAGTTTTGCTCAAATCTCGTAGCCAGCTGATCACTCTTATCGATTAAAGCGTTCCATTTGTCTGATAATTTAACTAATTCTCTTCTTAAATTTCTGGCCAATTCACCAGACGGATCGCCCGCCACAAACTGTCGAGCGCTTCTTAAGCTGCTCTCGACCAAGGGTCTCTTATCTTCTAATTGTTGTCTGAAAATAATAATAATAATAATAATAATAAAAAAAAACTTTTTATAATGGGATTGTAGCAATTTTATGTTAATGGGGAATTGTCCTCTTTTTTTTAATGAAGAAATTGATATTTACATATAAATACAGGTTTCACAACTAATGAAAGTACAACATTCACGAGAGTGTGGTCCGAATTATTCTGAAAAGGATGGAAGCGATTATCCAAGAGCAACATTTGAACGGAACGGATTAAATCCCTTAGAAACAACCACTGACTTGTTCATTTAGGTTTAATACTTTATTTATAATTACCTGAAAGCACGATGATCGTCCTGTCTAGCAGCCAATCCGAGTTCTGTGTCTTTTCTAATTACCCATTCAGTAAGTTCACGTAAAGACAGCAACAAAGCGTTCCAGTAGTCAGCGTTATGTTCTAATCTGTTTCGAAGATCTGACGTTCTTGTGCGAAGCGCCTATAAAGTAAGTTTATAAATTAACATGATAACAGAACATTTTTATCTGTATTGACGTTATTAACGGTTTGGAATGCCTCTTTACCTGCCACCTTCTTTCCATTTCATCGCCTCTCAACTGCAACATGAGGGCATCTTCTGCTGCCAGAGACCCCAATAGAGCCAAACTGGAATTTCTAAGTGACCGATGCGTTTGGGCCTGTCGCTCGACGTCCGCTTGAAGCTCCTTGAGCTGTTGCGTGGCCCGTCTGGACTCGGTATCGCCTTCTAACGTTTCGACGACGCTTTCCGCTTCACTGAGCCACCCCAGGAATTTGTCCAGAGACCGATCGAGATTTTGGAGGGAGCTCAGGGCGGAATGGAGCAGTTTGCCGCGATTAATGACGCAAGCGTCGAGGCGGAGGTAGTGTTGGTTAATAAATTCAGCTGCCTGGAATGATGAAATAATAATTCAAATAAGTCTTACATCATATCAATTGTACACTTTGTAGTACATATCGAGCCTTCAAACTTAAAACCTACAGCAATATAATTTGATGGAGAATTTAACTAACAATGATACTTTAATTTAAAAGGTTGAAATACACCATATAAGTACTTATTATTCTAAATAGAGGGTATGAGAATTTTTGATATCTTTAATATGATGGGTATCAATAAAAGCCTGTGCTGACAATGGTGATATTTTTTACCTAGTATGGGTTAATTAGATCTTGTGAATTTTTTTTAATAGTGTATTGAATATTCTTTAACTTAACGGCGGTTCTTAAGCTTCTGATATTACATCTCTCCTTTCTATGAAAAATAAAGAAAATTTCCTTTCCATAATAAATTTTGTAAGAACAGCAACATTACTTATTTTTTTTTTCCCTTGCTTCTTTGTAACATAAATATTATGTGGATGTGGCAAATAGTGAAAACAAATGCCATTCACATCAACACATACTCACTCAACATATATTGATGAAGTAAATTTTGAATGCTGTGTCCTAAATAATTTAAAGTACTTTATTATAAATATTTATAGATCCCCATCAGGAGACATTGAACTCTTTATAAATAACCTTTCTTATGTTTTAAATCGTTCTGTTATAATGTTCGATGTTGTTATGGTATGTCGGGATTTTAATATAAATTATTTGTTTCAAATTAAATTATCGAAACACTCAACCTACGCGAATATGTATAAACAAAAACGCTCATGTGACTAGGTCAAAGATAGACTACTTTCTCACTAATTTTACTAAGTACTATGAGGAGAAAGTTGTTGATTTAGGAGTAATCAGACGAAAGTCTACTTGATTCAGGACTAAAGATACCTTGGACATGCCCCAGGATGAAATGCTAAAGAAGAACAGTTTTGTGAAAAACTTCAAAACCACAGAGCTCGGCTGCAAGAAAGAATGGAGACAAGAATCCATCGCGCTTGTAACTGAAAGACATGCTATTCAGTGGTATACGGACGGTTCAAAAACCATAGAAGGAACTGGAATAGGAGTGTATGGGCCGAGAACCAAGCACTCCGAAAGCTTGGGAAAATACCCAAGCATCTTCCAGGCGAAAATTCACGCCATCGAGAAGTGTATCCAGTTTAACATCGAGAGAAACTATCATAGACAAGAGATTATCACCATGTCCGATAGCCAAGCAGCCATCAAAGCGCTGAGCTCTTACGTAATCAGCTCAAAAATGGTTTGGAGATGCCTAGAACAATTGAATGAGCTAGGCGAGAAAAATAGAGTTAGTCTCACTTGGGTCCCGGGACGTGTACAGGGTAACGAGATTGCAGATAGTCTTGCAAGGAAATGGGCTCAAACATCCTTTGTAGGACCTGAGCCGTTCTGCGGTATCAGCATAATATTAGGAGAGATTAAAAAAGAATTGGGCAGTAGAAGAACCGATAATTGGAACAATCCCTTCAAGAGATTCTCTTGGGGCTGAGACAGGCTAAGATACTTCTGGGTGAATATAACCAGAAAAGAATGGAAGCCTGTATCTGCCTGAGCAAGAACAGGCTACGTATTGTAACAGGGATCCTTACCAGGCATTGCCGACTAAAAGGACACCTTAATAAACTGAGAATAGTAGAGGATAGTGAGTGCAGATTCTGTGAGGAGGAGGACGAAACCTCCATTCACATTCTAACTGAATGTGTAGCACTCCAGAATCCAAGGGCACTATACCTAGGAGGATATCAAATAGAAGAGGGAGATTTACCTAACTTGAAGCCACTACAAATCCTACAATTCCTTGAGAAGATAGGATTGGAAGGGTCGTTATAGGCATTGAGACATTTCCTTGGTGCATTAGCAACAGAAGGGGGCACAATAGATCTTTTAGGTCACAGTGTATTAACACCCCATTCCCAACATAACATAACAACATATGCATTGGTATATTCTCAACTGTCATTTAATGTACTACTATGGGGAGGAGCTGTTGAGGTTCCACGTGTTTTTATTTCACAAAAAAGAGTAATCAGGCTTATTTTTAATTTAGATGCCAGAACTACTTGTAGAGATCACTTTAAAAAATAAAAATTCCTTCAATTTTTATATTTAAAACTCTTATGTACATGAAACAAAAGATTTCACAATTTCCCCGTAACTTAGACACCCACCATTATCCTACTAGAAGTGGAAACCAATTACGTATTCTAAAACGTGCCTCTGCTTTATATGAAAGAAATCTACAATACATCGGTGTACGCCTATTCAATCATCTCCCTCTCTCAATTGAAAACATAGTGACTTATAGCTTATTTAAAATCAAACTGAAACAGTACATAGTAGAAAAATGTCCATACAGCTTTGAAGAATTTTTCATGTAATTAATGTTTTCAATGTCCCATCACATTTGTATTTTCTTGTATTTATTGTTTTTATATATTGTGATGTTTCCTATCATGTAAATGATCTTTGAGGATAAATAAACTATCTATCTATCTATCTAAAAGTAGGTACTTATTGTTAGAATCTTAAATTCCTTAAATTTTCACTTTCATCTTGCAGTAATTCCTAATTGTAATATTTAACATTGTTCTTAATATTATTTTTTTTTTTGTAATTTGAAGACCATGCACTATTTATATTGAGAAACGTTATTCCATATCGACATTTAGATTCAAAAATACTATGATAACATAAATGAAAACAAGAAATACACCTAGCGACCATTTCCCTTCAGAAAACAACTACTCCTTTGGCTAATACCGCAACAGACATTGGGTTATATACAAAGGAAAGACAGCAGAGATAGAAATTTAATTTCAACACTCTAACTTTGATTTTGCTTACTAAGGAGAATTTCATTATTTGAACATTTTCGTTCTGATTCCTTTTTTACTATGATAAAATATCCTTATTAACATATTTAGCCCAAATAGATACATATTAATTATTAGTTAAAATATTGTTGTAAAATTCTCAAGCACATATTTTTGGAGAACATTCTTTGAGCACAAACGAGAATAAATGAGTATAAATGAAAAAATCCTAGAATTTATGTTTGATGAGTATTAAAGTATTCAGAAACTTCCTTTTCACAGTTTTTTCTGAAAATGCTCAAAATTTTCCTAATGCTTCATAAGAAAATTACACTATTAATATTTTGCGTTGCAAATAATGCAGCAATAACTTCTATCCTCGCTTCTATCTTTAAAAAAGAAGTAAAAACTTAAGTAATATAATTAACATTTAGAAATATAGTGTAAGAAGTAAACTTAAATATAAAACTTTTTATAAGTAAAAGTATTTTAGGTCAAGAAGTAACACATTTTACCTATTAACCTATTGTCAAGTGAATTGGAATAAACAAAAAATTATTAAAAAAGGTATGACACAATATAATTATTATACATCTTGATGTCACTCTAATTTGATAGTGACAACATATTTTATTTTAGAAAATTCGATAAGAAGACTTAAAGTTTGTAGAACCGCCACATATTGATTGAAGGTATAAAGTATCTACTTTTCTATGAAAAATTAAAAAAAATATTAGTAACCACATGTGCTGACCTTTACGCAATGAAGCGAATGTGTTAACTAAATCAAATACCAAAATAGGACAAGAAAGTTTACTATGACAGCAGCAGCATGTTGAGTTATGCAATGCACGCAGATGAAGTGAGTTCTGATTAACCAAGATCATGCTGAAAATTCTCGTTGGTGCTGAAATGTTCATGCTGAATGTGCTCCCTGGGGAACGTTTGTGCACAATAGATCGTTCGTGGGTGGAAGAACGATATATAATGGACGTTACCCACTTTACATCATTAAATAGGTAAGTATTGTTCTTTTTCTTTAAACTTACCTTTTTATATCGACTTGTATCTTCATGTTGATGGGCAGTGATCAACTTTTGGGTTAACTGTTGAAAACCTTCAATTTGCGATTTGAATTGATGCAATTCAGCATGTAAACCTTTTTGTTCTCTTAACTGCACCTCCAAGACGTCTGCAGTATGACCAACTGGAGCCATACCAGCTAGTCTTGATTCCATTTTTTGCAGCCATACTTCCAGATCCAATTTCTTCTGGTCGAAATTTTCTTCCCTTTTATGCATTTCAGTCTAAAAAATATTCGAGATTAACAAAATTGTCAGCAGGTACATTTGAATTCGAAATTAAACATGTTCATGTTTTTTAACTATTTAAGCAATATTATATGATTAAGACATATAATATTGTGAGTTTCCAGAGTATTTCAAAAAATGTTAAAATTCTAGAACCTGGGTTGAGGTGCATTCCCTGGAATTCACTTTAATCTATATATAACCCTACATTAAATACAGAAATATATTTACACAAAATTAAACAGCTTACCTTATTTTAAATTACTCTCTACGTTTTAAGCGTCAAATAATCACTTAAGTTGCATGTTTCTTAAGGTAGGCACTTTTCCTCATTCTTAATATTCTAGTAACTACCTTTTTAGGGCGATACAACGGAAGTCTTTGGTTCCTTACCACAGATCAATGCAGGTTGATGACCGCGCACCTGGTTTGATTTTTCAAATTACCCAGTATAAAAAGTACGGAATACATGATTTTCTCTTATAATTCATTGCCACAATATTTTAAAACCGTGGTCTTTAAATTAAACTGTTTATACTAGGCTGTTAACCTCAATTAACTGTCAGAGTCAGAATTTGTTTGTACACAAATTAAATTAACACAATGCAACGTTGTCGCATTGTTTACCATCATCTATAAATAACTTCTTTGAATCTTGCCGTTTCCGAAATGTGACAACCTCACAAAAAAGTGAACAAGGATACGATATCGTGCATTTATTATTTTTTTATTTAAGACACAAGACGACACGATAAGACTTGTAACAAATTATATTTTTGTTGATACATGTAAATTATCATTCCAAATTTTATTTCATCTGGAGTAAAATAATTCATAAAATGTATAAAAGAAAGTACACGACGTACGAAAGACGAGGTTATAAATAAAACCAAATATCTATAAACAGTGTTTTAGGTTGGTAACGAGTAGCATTAAACCTGCCAGTTGAAGACAGGACCGTCGTCTGCCTAAATATGCTGCGTTTGAAAAATACTTGGTTTGCTTTTTTTACTCGATACCGTTCTTTTCTCTCCGTTTGCTCCATTGATATGGTTTGTTCGAAGTCACGTGACCAAAAAATCTACTCGCTCTGCTCGAGGAGGGACATTTCAAACTCAGTCTTAAACTCTCAATTCATAATAAAATGATACGATATAATTGTAATGTAACAAATTATATTTTTCTACGAACTCTTACAAAAAGACATCTTTCGCCACAGGATACTTTCAGCGAAAACTTGATTTCCGTCACTAGTGAGAAAAAATCCCATAACGTTTACTTTCGTCTCTAGTGACGAAAGTAAGTTGTTACATATTTTCATATATCAGTCGCCTCGTATAATATTTTGGCAGCTTATAATTATTAATAATGAAATAAAAAGATGCTCATTAAATTCTATATGCGTTTTTACCTAAACTTTAATGAATTAAAGATAAAATAAAAATGTATAAAAATAGTGCAAATTAAACCAATCTACATCTAGTTTCCTGGTTTTCATTTATTTATTTGAAGTTTTATCACTTTTGAGAACTGTCAGTTTCAGTTCGTCCTAAATTTAACACATTTTAATGATGTCGATCTGAGTCAAAAAGCGATTGTACTCCCCCAGAAATTATTTTTAAAGCTGAAGAAACCTCTTCAGATTTATTACCGGCCAAATCAAAAAAGAGATATAAAGAAATTTATATCAAATTTTTGGACTGGAGAGAAAAAAATAAAGTGAAATAATTTTCGGAAACTGTACTACTAGCATACTTTGGAGAAATATGTTCAAATTTTAAACCGTCGACGTTATGGTCCATTTATTCGATACTAAGAACTACACTCTCTGTTAAAAATGATGTCGATATTAGTAAATATCCAAAGTTACGTTCGCTTTTGAAAAGAAAATCTGATGGTTTTAAAAGCCAAAAATCCAAAATTTTTTCGCCTGAAGACATAAAGACTTTCCTAAAGAATGCACCTGACTATAAATATTTAATAACAAAAGGTAACGGAATTATTATTTTTATTTTAACAAATACTTAATACATAACTACTAATATTTGTAGGTAGCATTAGTTTTTGGATTATCTGGCGCTTGTCGTTGCCACGAACTAAAAGATTTAACAATAAGCGATGTAAAGGATATTGGAAGTATTCTGTTAGTTAAAATCCGTAATACAAAAACAAAAGTTCCGCGTTCTTTTCATATTTCTGGACCCTTTTATGATATTTCTAAAAAATATATGAGCCTACGTCCCGCAAACATGGATCAATTTAATTAAAGATTCTTTATTAACTATCAGAATGGAAAGTGTAGCAGACAGGTTGTTGGAATTAATAAAATCAGTAAATTTCCTAACGAAATTGCTCAGTTTTTAACGCTTCCGAATCCTCAAGATTACACTGGGCACTGTTTCCGCAGAACATCCGCAACGCTATTAGTGGATGCAGGAGGTGACTTGCTTCTGTTAAAAAAGCACGGTGGTTGGAAATCTAGTAGTGTTGCGGAAGGATATGTTGATGAATCCACGAACAGTAAAAACCAAATACAAACCAAAATTTTACAATCTGTACAAAATAAGGAAACTACTAGTTCATCCGATTATGGCGCATCATCATCTGAAATGACATTTAACAGTAGAACAAATATGTCGGCATCTACCTCAATAAATAAAAAGCTTGAGTGTGATACCCCCATAATTTTGAATAATTGTTCAAATATAACAATAAATCAATATTTAAATAATAAATAATATTTCTGAAGTATTTAATTGTTGGTTAATTTTTAGTTATTCCTAACACAAAATAAAGCATTTGCTTGTTTTTTTTTTCATTTTAGTAGGTACCTACATGACATAATAGAGTTCGTAGAAAAAGTATAGTGTTTTACTCGTCAAAAATCATTTTTTGAAGCTAGCGAACATTATCAACCTCGGCTTCGCCTCGGT